GGCAATCATCACAATCATTATTTAAATTATCTGCATCGTGACCGTGTAAACAAAATTTTTCACAAAATTCACACTCTTCATGGCCCAAAGTTGCAAATGAAATATTTTTTTTCTTTATAGCTAACCTATAATATTCGTATGATATTTGTTGTTCTGGGTATTTGTGTGTAAAATCATTGTGCATCATGGTGATGGTCACATCACTTGGCAAATATCTTCTAATAGGAGCATGTTCCCTCCTGTAATGAGATACAGTTGGTTCAAATGATTCGATGTGCGCATATATTAAATCGTCATGTTTATACTTCCTATCCGAAACATGTTTGCCACGTCCATCAGCTAATGGGGCTATTGCGGCAGTTGGAGTTTTGTTAAGGACCTCAAATACTGCACGGTCATTATTTGGTTTGTATCCTAGTGTTGTTAGGAAAAACTTCTTGCACACGGACTGCTTGATTGAGTCTTTATTACTGAAGAAGTATTTCCAGGTGTTTTTTCGTGCACCATCTTCAACACTTTTCCTCTTTACAGGCATGCGATCACATGTATTGAGGATAAATGTCTTCCTCTCCTTCCAGCCTAATTTTAAATATTGGGCGTTAATTTCAATATGTCGTCCCTCATTTATTTTGCTAATGCATTTTTTTTTGCAACAATCAACAATTGGCTTTAGTGCATACTTTGCTTTATATAGTTGCATCTTACGTTCTTTTCTTTCTTTGACACTTAAAGAATTACTTCTGCGAATTCGTATAGTTCCCTTTTTAGTAAATTGGACCGATGGAGATGCAGCTTCGTCCAATGGTTTATCCACAGATTCCTTTAACACTGAAACAAGATAAAATTTAATTATTACTTCGTTTAAGTACAGAACACGGTACAACCTATGTTATACATATAATTTATATGTTATATAAAATATACATAATAGATATACCAATTTCTTCTCCATTTTCCACCACATCCACTCTACTCTTTAAGACATCTTCGTCCATTGAAGGTTGAAGTGTTGTGACAGACTCATCTAAAACTGATAATTTAATGCATTGTATATCTGCATAAAAAATGTCACACAAGTTATCATATAATAAAAAAAACACGTAATATTCTTACCAATATCTCCTCTATCCTCCATAATTTCTGCCTCATACACTATGACTTCCATTTTATCAACAGTTACTTCAGATACAACTGTTCTAGAATCCTGTAAAAGAAAGGGTAAAACATAACCAAGAAGAACCATACATTAGGTATTTACACAGTTATTTGTAGATTTTTTATAGTGAAACCTTGAGAAATTTGTAGAATATTTATTATTATGATCAATAAACACAATACACATAACCTTAGATACATAAAATAGATTGAGACTACGGAAATATATAAATAAAACACTTACATCTAACAATGAAGATTTACATTTGTCTGAAGTACGATGTAGCATATATTGAGTCCTTGACATCCAAGTGTTGCAAATATCACACAACATTTTATGATTTTTATAACACTCTACAATAAATTGAATAGTCCTAAATATAATTCACTATAAAAATAATCTTTACCGAAAAAAAAGAAACACCAAATACGAAAACACGAACGAACAACCAACGCACACACTAATCAGATGACGCTTGCAGTTGCAATGACGCCGTATTCATCATAGATAACCCACGTTTTTGTCTGTGTTGCCAAGTTAAAAAGCAGTAAAGCAATGATACTATGAAAAAATGCAGTACGTACGTTGCAAATACTGCATTTTTAATTTGTATTGCGATAATGCTGCGTTTTTACTAAGTATTACACTATATTTTTTTAACTTACGGCAAAATGAACTATGGGTTTGATGACTTCGGAATATACCACAATATTTTTATATAGAGCGTTATTACACAGAAAACGATGTTAAAACGTTTGGTGCAATAATCTCGATTTTTCAATTTTTGCGATTACTGCGTTTTTTCTTAGGACGGCAGTATATATGTCTACATATATATATATATATATATATATATATATATATATATATATATATATATATATATATATATATATATATATATTATATATATATATATATATATATATATATATATATATATATGTATATGTTTAAAAGTGGCCAATTTCTATATATAAAATTAAAACTGATTTAAATAAAATCACTGAACAGACAAAAGTTTGGTTAATGAAGGTTCAACCTAAAAAAATTTTAAGTTATGCATATGAAAAGAAACAACCTA